CAGCCGCCGGCCGCGCTGGGCTGCGGGTGCAGTGCTGCAGGCAGGTTATTATTAGGAGTGGTGCATTGCAGGAGGGAGCAGGGAAGAAGGAGCCAGGCAGGAGGCAAGGGGGAAAGAGATTCGTAACGGATGGGCACGCAGATTTGTCACTCACAGGACAAATTGCTATTGCCTCCTGCCTCTGCATAGGCATTTATCTGATCTGCCCTCATCTTCTGTAGCATTGGTGTGAAATTAATTCTTCCAAGGATTTGCAGCTATGCTTTACTTCCCCAGTAAGCCGGGGCTATGTAGAGACCTGGAGGCAGGCGGGGACCAAAAAAGAGAGGAAGTGCCACGCCGAGAAAGATGCTGAAAATTTTTTTCTTATAGTGGAAGGCGTTTTTCTCCCCGGAGAGGGAGGCCTTGTTTGAACACTTCCCATATAAGGGCATTCTACCTTTTAACTTTCTCCTTCCCTCTCTCTTCATCTCCCTCTTCTCCCAAAGGGATGGGGACTCCCTTTGACTCCCTTTCTGTAGCTCTGGTATGGAGCCAACACCAACACAAGGACTGCACGCTTTGTCCTTGTTTGAGTAAGGAGCAGCATTGCCAGCCTTAAGAGCTTAGAAATTCAGAAGCCAGGACTCTCCTGCATCATCAGATTGTCCTTATACCCCAAGTGTGAGGGCTTTTCGTATGCTTTCTGGTGTGCTAGACCTTAGGATTTATTTTTCAAACTTGGTGTCAGGGAGGGGAGAAATTTTTCACATCCTTGTGCAGGGTCTCAGTGCTTGTAAGCATTAAATAGAAACTGGAGATCACAACACCAGGCAGGGCCCAGCTCTGGTTGCTTTCCCAGAGAAATCCTGCTTTCTCAGAGGAATCTGGCTCTCCCAGAAGAGCCAGGAGCCGGGTAAGAATGCAGCAGCCCTGCCCCATGCCACACCGCAGCGCGTGCCAACCCATCTGCTCTATGGGATAGTCATTTAGCAAAGAGCAGTACAGCCTAGTGGCCTCCCAACAGACTGTTGGCTGGGCCAACACCGCAGCATGGCCCAAGATGATGATCTCATGCAGCAAAATATAATTGCTAGGCGATATGTCTTTGTATAGCAAGGCCGGGCACCTTGCAGCTCAGCCTTTTGCAAAGCTGCAGAGCCTAATTCAGTACCCACTGGCTAACCTGGCATAAATTGGGACAATCCATTCTGCTTGCTTGTGGGATGAAACAATGTTCTTTAATCCAACCTGTTAGGCAGCAGTACAGCCAAGCAGACTTGTGCCCCTGCCTAGGTAGCATGGCCCAGTGCAGGACAAGGGGTCCCCCTCCACATTGGTACAGACAGAAGAGCAGCCCTTCATGTTGATGCCCATCATGGCCACTCACACTGTGACGTGGTTTGGTATTAAGTTGGGTTTTGTGCTTCCAGACAGCCTGAACTGCAATGCTGCAGACACGCAAATGCGGTCACAAATGTGATGCAGACGGGGGCAACTCTGCAATATCTGCAAGCCCATTTTTGAGTGTTGGAGCCGAACATAACATGACCCAAGGCCAAGGGGCTCGGGGGCAGATGGAGAGGCCGGTGGGCTGCCTTGGGCTGCAGGCCAGCCCCAGTGTGATGGGGCGTGCAGCGCTGCTGCTGCTGTGTGGAGCCTGCGGTTGGTGTCCCCAGCTTCCCCTGTCACAGAGCAGGCAGCCGTTGGCCAGCCCACGGCAGGGATAGCGGAGAGCGTGGTGTGGCAGGGTTTGTGACTGGGGGGGCTGATGGGCGTTTGGCAGCTGCTGTTGTCTGGAAACAAGCGGCGATGCATTCCTGGGCACGTTCTCCTTCCCGCCGCAGTGCCGTCATCACCGCCTCTTGGATAGCTCTGGGGTGAGCAGCTGCTGCTCCCTCCTCTCTGGCAGCCAGCGAGGGGAGGCTGGTGGGCTCTGACCAGTGCATTCGTCTCCCTAGATGGGAAGAGGAGTACACGGTACGTGTCCAGCTTCAGGACCGGGTGACTGAGCTGCAGGAGGTGAGCATCGCTATTTCCCCCTTCCTCTGCACCCCAGCTGCCCTTGCACTGACACTGATTTGCACATCTCCCTCTGCCTGGGGCAGGAAGCCCAGGAGGCTGAAGCCTGCCAGGAGGAGCTGGCCATGAAGGTGGAGCAGCTCAAGGCAGAGCTTGTTGTCTTCAAGGGACTGATGAGCAATGTGAGTCCCTAATCCCTCTCTGACCCAGCAGCAGCATCCTACACAAGCAATGGGACTGCGTAGAAAAGCAGTTCCTTGGTGGGGCACATCCAGCACAGAGGTGGTCAGGAAGATGTTAGCCTAACTTTTGGGGTACTTTACTGTCCATATCCTTGACAACAAGGTTGAGACAATGCTGTTTTCGGACCGACTCTTACAAAGGGTTGGTCCAGTACAGTGAGCAAAGTGGGGGATGCAGATGCAGTCCTGGGGCACATGGGGCCTGTGACTGCCGTTTGCCTTGCCTCATCTTCCCCCTTTGTCCCCTTCCTGCGGTGCTGTGGGCTCAGAACATCACAGAGCTGGACACCAAGATCCAGGAGAAGGCCATGAAGGTAGACATGGACATCTGCCGGCGCATCGACATCACTGCCAAGCTGTGCGATGTGGCACAGCAGCGGAACTGCGAGGACATGATCAAGATGTTTCAGGTGAGAAGCACCTGCTGCTGCTCCATGCTCAGCCGCCGGCTCTGGGGAGGAGAGTTTCCGAAGGAGGTAGAAGAGACAACACCAGCGCCCTGCCAGGGGAGACACTTGGTCACCCTCACCCTCGCTCCTTGCTGTCCCTTGCTCTCTGTTTCTCTTGGGAGGACCCCGCGAAAGGGCACAGAGAGGAGATGGAAAGCTCCAGATGTTGCTTTTGGCATCAAGAGTCCCCTCAGCCTCTTGCTGACCTGTTGTGTTGGGCCCAGGGACCCCACAGTGGTAGGGGAGCAGCTGCAGGAGGGAGACGAGTTGCTTGAGTGTCTGTCTCTAACTCCATCTCTCTCCTTCCCCTTCCCCTCTCCGTCATCTTCTCTCTGTCTCTCTTCTCTGTCTCTTTTCTCTTTCTGGATGTCGCTGCCTTTCTGTCTCGCTCTCTTTGTCCCTACAGAAGCAACTGGTTAGTTCCATTTGGTTGGGAAAGTGTACAAATTTTAAACTTTCTATAAGTAAGATCGGACTGTAAATATTGACATATTTCACCTTTTTCAGACTCTGTCTCTTTTTTCCTGTTTCTGTCACTGTGTTTCCCTGTCTCTGGACTGGGGTGGTGGGCGATTTGAGTTTTTCTGCAGTAAAATCACATTGTTTTTTTCTCATCAGATTCATAGATTCCATCTTTATTTGCTTAGTTTTAATTTTTAAAAATGCTAAAACCATGTTTTATCCATTGCACCATCTTTAACCTGATCATAATGAGCCCGTCTCTCTCTTTCTTTCTCGCTTTTCTTCTTCCTTCCTTCCTTTATTTCTTTCTCTCTTTCTCTCTTTCC